GTGCTGCGAAGTCTCAGCATACCGGTGAGTTACACAGGCCACTTGGAGAAAGAGAAGTCTCGTATGCTCACCAGGGCTGCAGTTATTTGATCAAAAATAGATTCAAAACAGTTATATTTTGAAATGTTATTACAATTGAAATAACTGTTTTCTATTTTAAAATGTAATTTATTCCTGTGATGGCAAAGCTGAATTTTCAGCAGTCCTTACTCCTGACTTCAGTGTCACATGGTCCTTCAGAAATCGTTCTAATATGCTGATTTGTAACATTTCTTATTATTATCAATGTTAAAAACACATGTGCTGCTTTCTAGGTTCTTTGTAACTTCTTGTGTTCTTGCTGAGTAAACTTTTGAACCACTGTGCTTTAGAATTACATTATTCATTAGCATAATGGTTAAGAATATACACTTAGAACCAGATTTACAGATACATGCATGCATTTGGCAGACCCTTTTATCCAAAGCAAGTGTGCAATGCATTTAAGCTGTACATTTCATTCAATATACATAAATTACATCAGCTTATCTGTTTTCTGAGAATCAAACCCTGTGACCGTCATGCTCTACCACTCAAGCTACAGGAACAGGAAAATGGATGTTATGCTAATCAAGTGTAGTGTACTACAAACTTATGTCAACATCAGGAAGAAAGCGTGTTCGTCACTTTACAGTGATTGTGTCATTGTGTCGTAGTGCTAGATAAAAACAAGCAGCGGCTATGGGACTACACTCTCGGCTGAAAAAAATAGGGTCCAATATACTGTGTTGATATGAAGGAATTTTCCCATATTTTGAAATTAAGCATTGTATTGTGTTGTGTTAAAGGAATAGTTCACCCAAAAATGAAAATATGCTCAGGACATCCATGACACAGATGAGTTTGTTTCTTTATTGGAAGAGATTTGGAGAAATGTAGCATTACATCATTTGCTCACCATTGGATCCTCTGCAGTGAATGGAGTCCAAACAGCTGATTAAATCCCATTCACTGCTTAGGATCTATTGGTGAGTAAGTGATGTAATACTGAATTTCAGCAAATTTTCATTTTTGTGCGAAGTAAAACGAAAGGAATGCTCTGAAACTTAATGGAAAATGTTCCAGTAGAAAATGACCAGTAGTTTTGCGTTTTTCTACAGATTTTTTTTTCTTCCAGTCAGTACAGAAACGTTATTCAGAATTTAAAAGCATGAATATGAGTGTCTAAAATGTGAAGCTGTTACACAGTATTAGTTACACTGCATTATTACTCTTTAACCCATTTCCCTCTGTCTCTCAGGAATATGTACCTCCTACCAGTGGTGGAGAAGACAAGGAGATGCAGAAAGTATCCTCAGTCTCAGAGCTGTTTCAGGTCCACATCAACTTCCTGCGGGGAAAAGTGCGTCTTCTGCTTGCCAATGCACCTGTCTGCCATCAAGGTGTCAGCTGATAGACAATTTTGAGCAAGGGCCAAACTAATTGGAGCTCCTCATATCAGGAGGCAGGATAATGGGCTATTACAAAGGATATGTTGCCGAGGTTTGAATGACTGGGAGTTGTAGCACTTTGAAAGATTTACTCACAGAGGGAAAAGAAGACATCCCCCAGAATGCCAAGCGCCCCCTTTGGCTGTCTTCTCTCTCTGTGTTGAGCCTTTGCAGTCCCACCTGCGTTACCTGGCAAAAATCAACCAGACGCAATAATGAAACTTCAAGAAATCACTCCTCTTTCCCCATACGACTGTTGGCACTTGCCCAGCTCAACTGGGAAGGTTTATCTGGGACTTTTTAAGTGTTTTGTATTACTTATGAAATTGTCATTATTTATATAGATGATATTTCTTAGAGCTGGAATCACTTGCTTTTGCAGGTTCTTTTCTGAAGCTATTCAAGTGAAGACCTCTCTTCCTCCATTTACTGTGGCCTCAAGCACCTCCAAACATTGAACTGTTGATAGAGAAGTCTACTTATCAATATTAAATATGCACTGTAGGTTTTATATTCATTTCAGTGTTACGTTTATGTGTGTGTGTGTGTGTGTGTGTGTGTATGTGTGTGACTTTAGTGAATGCTGCAGGGAATGTTTCAAGCGTCGGGGAGGAAGGTTGTAATGCTGAATTCTTACGGGTCAGTTGGGGTGAACAGGATGAAGGACGAGATTGCTGCTTGTGTCGGGGGAATTGGAAACTTTCGTGAGAGCTGATGAGGCTCTGTGTTAGCTCATGTCTGAATTACGCGGTCTTGTGCAGATAACGTCGCTGCCAGGAAAAATATTGATTAGTGTGTGTATGACGAACATCCTGACCTGCTTCCACTTCACGCACGACGCTGCATATTTGCCTTTGGGAAATGATCGTAAGGTTGACATTTTGTTTCTCTTTTTCTGTTTAACTTGTTTGTGTTTTTCGTAAATAGCCTGTTTTTTTTTTTTACATCTGTCAATCAGTCTCTGTCTAGATGCAACAAAGTATGTTTGTAGATGTTTTTTCCTGTTGTGTGGTTCTTTCATCACAATGTCATTCGGTATTCAAATACAAAGTATTATTTTTAGCTAAAAAAAATAGAACTGTAAAAACAAGGAGAGAGGATTTTTTTCTTTTTGTCTTAAGAAGCATCTCTGCTGAGAATGTCAATACACTGCTCACAATTCTGTAAATACATGTGATTCCAATGTGAATTGTTTTGATGTGAAAACAAGTACTTTTTTAGCTATGAGTGAGGGAGAGAGAACTAGGCATACATTATGCCTAAGACATAACAGGATAATAAAAGAAGCACTGCATTTTTGTCATGTTTTCACTGAAGGAATTTAGTCACACCACTAAATATTTTTAAAAACCCCTTTGTGTCATTCCTTTTCACCCTACTTGCCACCAAAATATCTGCTCTTTTAGTTTGGTCAAGAATGGCTGGACAAACATTTTGATCCAGTTTACTTACTGATCAGCCATCAGATGCCAACCCTCTGACAAATCAGCTGCATCTTTCAGAAATAGTTAAGCTTAGCTGTTCATCCCAACCTTGCTAACATGCCATCTCCATTCCCACTCAGAAAGTAATACATATTACCGTTTTTATGGCATCTGTGCCCCATATTATAGCCACACACTTGGTGAAAGCAGACACTTGTCAAATCTGTCATTATTACCCAATAGCATTTTACAGAGGAAAAATATAGGTGTTATTCTTAAGTTATAACATTAATGTTAAATAATATAATAATGTTGTTTACTACTGTTATTACTATTAAATAATATATGTAAAATAAATGATCCTTAAAATAGACTATAACTATAAACAGAAATAGGAAAACAGCAGGTAGGTCAAACAATGTCTTTTTACTTTCCATTTAACTAAGCTTTAAAACAACCGATGCATGATCTTTTGGTTACAATTTCACTATACACGAGAAAACAAATACATAAACTGATTTCTGTTTCTGAAAGGGGGGGGGGAACATATGATATGGCACATTTCCTTTCTACATTCTTCATTCAAGAACACCACAGCAATTAATTAAATAAGCTTCAGGCTGAACCAGAACAGAAGTCATACAAAATAAAACAGACATCACCTTTAACCCACTCACACACACCAGGACCATTACATTAATGTTTATGAAGTCTTTGAAGTTGCCATTTGTTGTGTTAATACTGATACTGGCTCTATGCGTTGGGATAAAACACCTTGATGTGTATTGCTGAGTTATTACGGGTGCGTATAAGCGGCTCCCCCGCCTCATCCGGGTCCTCGGGCTCCAGATCATCTATGAGCTCTACAGTGGACGTGTTGGCCGCCAGCTGCAGCGCACCCTGGCTGGACGTCTGGAGCTGCAGGGCGATGTTAATGGCCCGGTTGATGGCCAGCCCCAGACCGTGGATGCAGATTTCCCTATGAGCGTCCAGAAGTTTCTGACACCTCGCCAGCTGGGCCTTGAAGTCTGTTTTCATGTTGACGTAGACGTCGTTCCGTCGTTTGGGCAGTTTGCGCGGCAGACGCTTGCGGAGGGTGTACTCCATCGGGTCCATCTCAAGCGTTGAGCCCTCTGGGGTGGGCAGCACCATCGGGTTGTGGGGTACAGAAGCGGACACCGGGCTGCGTGGCTCGGCCATGTCAAAACACGGGAAAAGCACTGTACCAAAAGAGCAAGACATCCGTTAATCAACGTTTAGTGATGATCTGTTTTTTTTTTTCAGCGAGTGAAAATGACACACAGCAGACCTGTGAACACTCACAAATGTTCTAAACTGGCACTAAGGTTAGCAGCTGAATATATAAACATATTCATTATTCGTTTACATATCAATTAGTACAAAATAGCTAAATTAACGGCGACTGATTCATTAGTCTTTTGATTCACTTAAAAGAACCGACTCGTATGAGTAAATCGGTTCCGGAATCGGACTAACGTTACACTGTATGTTATTGATTAATTAAAAAGAACCGACTCATGTGAGTCATCGTTCATGAATCGTTTTGTACACCGGTCGGTCGCGCTGTTTGTTTCACTGTACATCGTTGCGGCGCTGCTAAACAGAAATAAATGAAACACTACTGCTGTTTTTCGTTCCGTCCCGTAAACATTCGGTTCTGGCATTTTTTTATGGAACCTCAGTTCCCTAGAAATAACCAAGTCATTACCATCATTATCGATATGCTACGTTCATTTATATAATATTTTTGTTTTTGAGCGTGAGTAGTACCTTGAATTAGATGAGCTTGTTTTTTCGGCTGCACTGTAGCTGGTGAATAAATGAATCTGCGTATTTGCAGGTTTGTCTTCTCTCCTCATGTACCGGAAGACCTCTCACTTACACAGGAACTGATACCTAAGCCGCTCTGTTTGATTACATAATACATACTGCTCTATTCTTGGCTGAAACATATATATTTTTTTATTTCGTATATTATATAATTATAAATTAATCACAATAAAATAAACTGTGTCTCAGTGCCAATTTGAAAGTGAGCATTGCTAAAATTGCGATTATTGCGTCGTCAGGGTCTTTTATTTTGAAATTCATTTTAGTTTAGCGGCGTTGTGTGTATGGAGAGTACAGTCTACAGTCACTCCGCGCTGGATTACTATAAGTGAACTGAACTTTATGAAATATCTGTTGAATTTGTCTGTTTTTTATTTTATTTACTGTTTATCTAGTTTCATTTAAGCCATGTCAGACACATGGAGTCACATCCAGGCGCACAAAAAGCAGCTGGATTCCCTGCGAGAGAGGCTGCAGAGGAGAAGAAAAGACACAACTCAACTGGGCATCGGTGTGTTGATAAACTACATGCTGTGAGATCTGCAAAACTATTAACTGTACCATGAATAGCATTTGATTTATTTGTTAAAAAGTACTACCTGGATGTGTAATGAGAGTCACCATTACAAACCATGTTGTTCATACATTCAGCTTTATTAGCTTGATATCAGATGCTGAATATAGAGACCACACAGGAAGTGTGGCATCATGATGCTGAAACTGTAACTTTAAATGCATGCCAAAGAAAGAATGAATCAGGTTTCAATCAGGTTTATTTATTTATTTTTCAAAAGTGATATTAGTGGGTCTATGGTGCCACCTACTGCACGTGCATTTTTCCAACAATTAGTTCTGGTTTTTAACAGAGATTGGAGGTGTTGAGGGTGGGTCCGCAAGGAGCGACAGCCCTGGACCGGCGCTTCAGAGTCCTCCGCAAGTGGAAGTTGAGCAGCCTCCAGACCCGGAAATAGAGAAGAAGCTGCTGGGATACCTGTCTGAACTGAGTCTTTCTCTCCCAATTGATTCCCTAGCTATCACCAACCAGCTAAACACAGTAAGACCTGTGTGCATGCTTGTGTATACTAGCAGTCAAAAACCTGGACATGCACTCGTTATTACTATCTCCTGCATTAGAGAAAAAATAGTAAAGTTGTTAAAACTGTGAAATATATAAGGACAATGTGAAACATAAATTGTCACATTTATCTAAACTTATTGTGAATACTATAGAAATATTCATATCTATGTTTTTGTCTTTCTGTCCTTCTCACTCTCCCTCATTTGCTACTTTGACTCAGTCTGAGTCTGCAGTTTCCCATGTTTGCATTCAAAGTCTCCTCCTCAAATTTTCTGCCCAAGAACTTATTGAAGTTCGGCAGCCATCCATCACTGCCTCCTCGTCCTCTTCCTCCTCCACCCTTGTCACTTCAGTCGACCACACCAAACTGTGGGCTATGATTGGCAGCACAGCCCAGCCACAGAAAACTGCCATTAAAAGAAAAGGAGATGAAATCATCCATCAAAAAAGAGCCCCAGGCTCCTCCCCTTTGCTTCAAGCACCATCTTCACCTCCTAAAAAATCCTCTGCTTCACTGGGTCCTGCCTCGAACTCGCAGCTTCCTGGATCCTCTGGGGTTGGAGGGGGCGGGCCTGAGAAAAAAGGCCGGAGCAGCAAGGTGCAAGCATCTCATCTGGACATGGAGATTGAGAGTCTACTGAGCCAGCAGTCCACTAAGGAACAGCAAAGCAAAAAGGTATAATAATTAAGTAGCAAGTCAGTAAAAGCCTTGTGCATTCATGTGTATGTGGAGTCTGATGTATGTTTACTTGTGCCTCAGGTGAGCCAAGAGATCCTAGAGCTGTTAAACACCAGTTCGGCAAAGGAACAGTCGATTGTGGAGAAGTTTCGCTCACGAGGCAGAGCTCAAGTACAGGAGTTCTGTGATCATGGGACGAAAGAAGAGTGTGTGCAGTCGGGGGACACTCCTCAGCCCTGCACCAAGTTGCACTTCAGGTCAGTTCACAGACACTATAATAAAAATTGTAATTAAAATAAATAACCATATAAAATGCCTATAAATTAGAATAATAATAGTCTATGAATTAACTATATAATTATACATTTAGAAATTGTAATAATAATCATCAGTAATATTTTTATTTTAGTATTGATTATGATAATATTATCTGAACATATTATAAACAAATAATTTAGCCATTTTTTACTTTTCATTTGTTGAATTATATTATAATTTAACTTTCTAAGGCGAATCATCAACAAACACACAGACGAGAGCCTTGGCGACTGCTCCTTTCTGAATACTTGTTTCCACATGGACACTTGTAAATATGTGCACTATGAGATTGACAGCCCTCCTGAAGCAGAGGGTGACACATTGGGGCCCCAGGCAGGGGCCACTGAGCTTGGACTGCACTCCACTGTGGAAGACAGCAACGTTGGCAAGTTGTTTCCTTCACAGGTAAAGTATCGTAAGAATTGACCTGTTCCACAGCTTCTATTAAGCTATAATATACAGTAATTGACTTGAAGCCGAAATTCACTGAAACCACTATAATATAGGAATAGACATGTTCTCTTGGGTAAGGTTGCACCAGTTCATAAGTTCCTACTCCTACTGGATGTAAAGTCTACAATAGAGGCTTAGCTACTAGATAGCATGAAACTAACTCGGTGCTTTATTTGTTGGCACCATTCGTTCTTTAGGCAGAATGTAGCTAATAGGTTGTAAGCTCTGGAAAGTTATGCATAGTCAAATGACGTGTACCCTCAGTGATCTAATAGCAGCCTTCAAATACGTGAGCAGAAGTTCTGTTGCAATGCCGTGAATTTCAGTTTATCTTTGATTTTAACTTATTTTGCCTCATGTAACTAATGCATAAATACATTTCCATTGTAATACAATAATACTTACTCATGAATAATGTAATAGGTATTTTTAATTAACAAGAATCAATAAGAAATGGCATATATTATGGTTGATTTATTTGACATGCACAACATGGACTGATGCCCACATATACAATCTGAGTTTGTTGAGAACCGCTAACAAAGTAACTCGTTCACATATGATTCACATATGTTTTCCCTCTCAAATTATAAGCAAGTGTAAATGTCAACATTATCCTCTATGTCTAAAGGATTGAAGTCTGCCGGGTTAAACAAGAGCTTACTGATGTAATTACACCTAGTTGGAAGCTTCTGTTAATATTCAGTGTAAATGTAGAGTTACGTTTGAACTAAGTTTAATGGTGCAACGCAAAAGTAGAAGTAGTGTGTAAGTTGTAACTTAGTCTTGTAAGTTTACATCAAAAATAGTTGTAACTTATGTACAGCTGGTATAACTGGCCCTAGATGTGTTTCTGTCCTGTAATTGCTTTCAGAGCAATCTTCTTTCATTCTCACATTTGCTGTCACTGTTCTTGTATTTGTCTACATATTCAAAAACAAATTTTTATTAAAACTGTGATTGGCATTTTTATTTTGAGACATAACAAATATATGCCGTCTAACCTTATCCCCTTCTCAGTGGATTTGCTGTGACATCCGTTATCTGGATGAGTCCATCCTGGGGAAGTTTGCAGTGGTGATGGCCGACCCGCCGTGGGACATTCACATGGAGCTTCCATATGGAACACTCACAGACGACGAGATGAGGAAACTCAACATTCCTATTCTGCAGGATGACGGTTTCCTCTTCCTCTGGGTGACAGGAAGGTAGGGGCTCTGGGGAGCGACTGAACACAAAGCTTCTTAAGACCCTTTTATCTAAGTGTAATAAGATTTTGCATCACTTTTACCACACTGATAAATGTAAACCTAAATACAACATAAAATCATCTTGTAATAAAATCTGTGATTATATCACAGATGTTTTTGATATTCCAGAGTTACATTTTCCAAAAGCTTTGAACAACTTTGAACTCTGCACAATTGATTAAATCTGTGTCTGAATACATTTTCCATGATCATATGCATGCCATAAGAAGAGGTACCTAAGAATAAATGATCTGAAAAATTGAAAAGAGGTTATGTAATGCCGTCTTGGCAACAGTCCAAATGCAGGTCAACAATAGTTCATTTTCTGTCTTCACAGAGCTATGGAGCTGGGCAGAGAGTGTCTAAGCTTATGGGGGTAGGTGATTTTACATGTGGAAAATGTGATAGCGATCTCTTTAAATATAACTAAATCAGTTTTTGTTTTCTGTCACTCAATTAGCTATGAGCGTGTCGATGAGATTATCTGGGTAAAGACTAACCAGCTTCAGAGAATCATTCGTACTGGAAGGACTGGACTATAGTGGCAGAGGTCAGTCATAACCATTATTACTGATAAAGCAGTGATGAATTTAAAGTCAGTGATGATCAGTGCACTAAAAGAACATCTGTCATCTGTCTACACAAAAGGTCCGCTCCACTAGTCATAAACCAGATGAAATTTATGGAATGATTGAGCGTTTGTCACTGGGTACACGAAAGATTGAATTGTTTGGGAGACCACACAATGTGCAGCCTAACTGGTGAGTCAGACGGTCAGGAACTTTTTTGATTTCCAAATCACTTACGTGACTAAGTGCACTTTTAAGTAATCAGATGTGCTGTTCTCTTTATTGCTAACTTGCTTGTTTTTTCTGATCTTTCGCACCCTGTTTTGTTTTCCAGGATAACTCTTGGTAATCAGTTGGACGGTATTCACCTTTTAGACCCTGAAGTAGTTGCACGTTTTAAGAAGCGCTACCCTGACGGAGTCATCTCCAAACCTAAAAACATGTGAGGACTGGGCTAGTGAGAGAATGTACAGCTATTGGTTGAACTCTGCCACAGGATTCACGAGTAAAAGAACAAACTTTAATACCACTTTGCTTTTTAAAATAAAAACATTGAACCACGTTTTTGTCGTCGTTCTATACAGACTGCTTAAAGGGGTCCTGTTATGCTCTTTTACAAAGTCTTGATTTTGTTTTGGGGGTGTACTAGATGTCATCCCCTTAACATTCGCCTGCTAGCTTCAGTGTAAATATTGCGTCAAAAGCAAATCAATTTGAGCGTGATTTAAACCCGGATGATTGTAACCACTCTAAGTTCGTCTGAATGATTTCACTGGTAATTCTTTAAAGACAACTTTTTTTGTTAGAATAGTATGAAAATAGATACTTGTTTCTTTTTGAAAAACAGTTGTTTTTTTATTATTTATTTTTTTACAATCATCAGTGAAAGCAACAGGACATGTGCTGTTTTAATTCTATTATAATTTAGTTCACTGTCTTTTTACTTATTACAATTATTTTTTTATATATATAATTGATTTACACATTGCATACAAAACATACCAAAAATATCTTCTCTTGCATATTGTGACTTCAAAGGTGTAACAGTGGCTTGTGAATTCTGTTCTTTTGCTGGGTTAGTGTAAAAATCCACTTTTAACATTTAAAAAACAAATGTCAATACATGTGCACACAACAACGTGAAGAAGTCCAGATACACATCATTAGCATGTAAAACCTGTTTTTTTCAAACATGTCGGAACAGAAGCAATGAGTGGATCATGACAAACATCTCCATTCTTTTGACTAGTTTTATACATGCAATAAGAAGAAAACCTTACAAAGATTTAGAAACTGGGCCATCTTCATATTAATATATTAGTCAAATTTAACTTACATAAAGTCCATGAAAAAAACATATTTTTTAGAATTGTTCCAAACACACCCCTCAAGCAAGATTGGTTTATGGTCAGGGCATATTTCAAAAAGCCCTGAAAAATATACATAATAAAAATGAAATTAACGTTAGAGCTGTGTTATGGACACTATGTTAATGGACCTTGATGCAGCTGCAAGGCAGAGAAAATGGCACTTACATAGAAAGCAAAATAAGCTTTAAAAACTTCCTTTCTGTTAATGTGAAAGAAAAAAAAACATTCCGTTGCTTCACAGTACACACTGAATTTATGACCTGCAAGGCAAAGCGTGGTTGATTTTATTAGGTAGACTGCTATTCATCAAAAATCCTACACTCTAAAAAATGCTGGGTTAAAAAGGGACAAACCCAGCTATTGGGTTGTTTTGAACCCAACCGCTGGGTCAAAACAACCCAACCACTGGGTTTGTCCCTTTTTAACCCAGCATTTTTTAGAGTGTACTGAACGAATTTATATCTGGCTGAAAAAACTCAATTGCATTAAGATGTCAGTGTCTCCTCAGATAAAACCAGCATCCAGTTGAGATAATGTAGATGCATGTATAGCAGAGGCTGTGGAGGGCAAATGCTACAGGCTAGAAAAAAGCACTTACTGGTTATCATGTAAACATCACTCTTAAGAGTGTTTCAAAATATCCCTTTCACCAAATTACACTCAGCTGTACCATTTTACACTCATTGCTCTACCAAAATTCAGACACTTATCTTGACATTGTTATTGCAATGCATACAGCTGACGCTCATGAGTGTCCATGGGCGTGCAAGGAGAGGCAAACTTCCATGCTGCTTGTTCCAAATGGCTCATTCTCCAGTTCCCCGCAAAATCTCTCCAATAAGGGACTTAAACTGGACTGGGGCAGTAAATCTGAAGTTTACTTTCAAGGATTCTCCAGAGACCACCTGCAGAATAAAGTTAGTATGTGGCATCCACTGCATTGATGTTGCTATCCATCTTGTGTCTCAGTGAGAGCCGAGCCTTGTGGGAAAAATAGGCCTGTGGGCAACTCAGACTGCTGCCACTGTCCCCTTCACTGCCCCAGGAGGTAGTGGAACACAGCCGAGGTTTCACCTCTTCACTTGCTACTGCTGAGTAAGCAGAAAAGAAAATAATATAATTATCTCACTTCATAACAAATATAATATAAAAATGTATAATTGTCACACCTCATAAAAATATAATAAATACTATTTAAAAAATAAAATGTTAATGCACTTAGAAAACATACATATGCTATTTCTTTTTAAAATATATACATTATTAGAGAATAAGTATACCATGTCACAGAGGACACAGTTTTCACTTCTTGAAATTTTGATGTCAACTACCAATTTATCATTTGGCCAGATTATCAATTACCTTTTAGCTTTATCTGAAAAAGTTATAAAGTCTGAGAACATTACTTACTCGTCTCAGGGGGGCACTGTCTCTTGCTCCTCTCCTTGCAGCGTCTGTAGAAAGGAAAGCACTGCAGCATTTTTACACCCATATCACCAGAGGGAGCTAAAGACAAGAGAAGCACCTGTTAGACAAACTGACTGTGGCCTGACATTGCTCTATAACACAAATAACATTTCTAAGTTCTAAACTAGCAAAAGTGTCTATTGTTATTTGCCCTTCTAGTGCTACTGTGGTTATTAAGGTAAAACCGCTGTTGTTTGTTCTTCTGATTATTGGTTACCTGAAATGTTCCCTGTGACCGTGGGTTTTATGTACAGCCTACTGTATAATCTCATTACAGCCTTGTGTATGCAAACCTCTGCTCTGCAGTCTAATCCCATACAGCGACGTCAGTGGGTAGACTGAACAGAGTCATCCGACACACGCCAGGTCAAGCTTCCTGATAGAGGCTGGCAGTTTTGCCATGTTGGCGGTATTGGGAGTTCGACTTGCCGTTTATGAATCACTTTTGACAGCTGCTAAGCGTATTATTCATAATTCGTTTATAAACTCGTGTTTGAAGTGATTCATGCCCTGCAGTTGTTGAGTATGACAAATACAAACATGTCTTCTTAAGAGCTTTTTGTGACAAAGTGACCAGTGCTTCTCTTTTCACCTTTTCCCAGGTTTTGCTGTCCTTTGGTTTGTAGTATACAGGGTTAATGGTTAATTTTTAATGACTTGGCATTTACACTGTTCTGATATGCTTTGTGAATCCAGTCTGCCCCAGAAACCAATGTAATACTTTAGTGGCCGACCTGCATATTTATTCTTGGGTTAAAGTTTGTACATTAAAACAATGCATGCAGAATGGGATCATAAACTACAAGCTTGTGTAATAGGTCATGATATCATAGTTGTCAGGCTTGAAATGCAAGTCATAACATTTGAAAAAAAAATCGGGGCATGTTTTCCATCCAACTACATGTTGCTGTCACGCATTAACACACAACACAAAAGAGTGTTTGTGTGTTAGTAAAACTGTTGTTACAGAACCATGTCACCACACGCCACTGTCGTTCACTGTCATACATAACACTCTGTTCCCAGGGCCGTCCTTAGGGGGGTGCAACTGGTGCGGTCGCACCAGGCCCCGCGCTTGAGGGGGCCCCGCGGTGAAGGAACCGAGGGGGACCCCCCCCCAAACGTGATAGCGAACGGACCGAGGGGGGCCCTGCTCCCTACCTCGCATCAGCTAAGGACGGCCCTGTATGTACGTATGTATTTTAATTACTATAGTCAGTTGAAAGTGATGGGTTGTGACTACAGATAAATATTAACATTATTTAATTTTACTAAGATGATGTTAAAATGAGCATGCAACAACAGTTTGTATGAATGTGATGCATGGAAAATGATGTATTTTTATAATTACAATTTGCATATCCCTTAGCTGTCGATGTTGCTACTTAACATAACAGAACTTTAATTGTCAACTTCAGTAACATACAGAAGTGGCCCCATTTTGCATCAGTCATTGCATCAAACCATGAATATCTGAGATTTTGTGGAGAACATTATGTCCAAAATATTTGCTGTATATATCCAATGCTGATACTACAAAGCAAAGGCAAATGTTTTTCTTATTAACTTTCCGTTGGTTCTAGTAAATACACACACACACACACACATTTCCGTCACTTGTGCCAATCATATGCTATACATTTATCCATAACCATTCCTCTCGCTTCTTTTCTCCTCTCAATAATTTTCATAACTCAAGCAAAACATAATTTATGTGGAAGCGCTCATCAGGGGAATTAAGATTCCATTCTTATTTCTTTATGTGTTCGGTTTGTGACAAAAAGTGTAGGAAAAAATGCCCAAACCAGTTTGGGAAAAAGTGGATGAGGAGGCATAAGAACAGAGAAAATGTTGCCGTTTCTTTCCTCATGGTTTACTTTTTGGCAAGGTTCTTGCCCAGAGACCCAGAAATTATGTGTTAAGAAGTGTATGATTTAGAGCTAAGTTGTTTACTAGTGATCTAGACATGCACTTATAAGTGTACTACAAGCAAGATCTTGTAGACACAAACGCATACACACACACACACACACACACACAGAAAATCCTTATAGGGTATGTAATCTAGACTTGTGATGACCCGCTCCAGGTCATTTACCAAACACTGTGAGATGTGTTTGTGTATCAGTATGCCTGTG